CCCCCCCCCCTGCCAAACGAGATCTGTGTTGATATGGACTATCTAGGAGGAAGGGAGTTCGACAATATTTCGAGATAAGGTGCACAGAAAGGGAGGTTTAATTGAATATATCACGGTTAAAGCGTCTTATTGGGTGAAGAAATTGATGACTTTTGAACCATATTCTGTTAATAATATTTTTAGAGGATGGTCTTTGGTGGCTGCATCTTCAACAGCTTGGCCAAACATGCAACCAGCTTGGAATTCACCGAGTCATAATTTTCTGAAGTCATTTATCAAAAAAAATTAATATAAAGTTGAACTTTGACAAATGTTCTCTAGGAATCCTGGGGCCTTCAGGTGGTGGAAGGGTCTTTTATAATGAGCAAGGCAACGGAATTGCATTATTCTCAGGACCTTTAAACCATGATGACTTGGTGAGAGCTGAAGTATTGGCCCTACTCCAAGGGTTGAGATTAATTAAGGTACTCCCCTTGGAGATTATATTGGTTGAAGGTGACTTAAAGATAGTAGTAGGTTAGATGAAGACTAATAAGAAAGGTATATGGAGATTCAGATATGCTATGACGGAAGTAAGTCAGCTGGCAAGTAAGCTGGTGTATAATTTCCAACTGGTTAAGACTTAAGAGATCGACAAATGGTTTGGTTATGTATTACCGAGACAAGGGATCAATTGGGCAGAATTGTATTAGGCTAAGTTGTAATCATGGTTCACAACGATATTTGGCAATATATTCCCAAAATATCCCCATTTGCTAGGTAGTGATACAAAATCTTCTGGGAATCTTTTTTTCCAGATATCCCTGATATTTTGCTGATATGTCAGCTGTATTTTAGATTTCAATGATTAACTATATATTTAAAATTTAAAATTTAAAATTTTAGAATATTATTAAAAAAATTCAATATTTCATTAAAATCATCATATTTTTGAAAAATATTTTCCCAAAAGAACTAGCAGGGAATTGGTGATTTGGTATTGGCTTGCTACTTTGATATGATTCACCAAGTCACTATGATTCAAAAGAAAAAGAAATTGCATATTATTACAAAAGAGTATTCTCAATCTAATCAAAACATATAGTAACAATAAAGACAAAAGTTAAAATGGCAAATAATTGACATATATAAAGAAGCATAGTTTTCAAGGCGCCAAGGCGAGGCTAGGCGACAGGGGGGGGCACCTTGTCGCCTAGTCGCCTTGGTGGGTGCCTAGGCATCGCCTAGGCGATGGAATTTTTTAAGTGAAAAATACATATCCTAGGTAGTTCCCTAGGTTCCATAACCACCTTTCCCTAATAACTATCCATAATTTTCAATTATAAACTTCATTTTTTTGTCTAGAGAATCAACATATTTATGAGAAGAAAAGAAGAAAGAAAAGAAAATTCAAAAAATATGGGGACTGAACCCCTAYTTTTGTTATAGGAAAAGAAGAAAAGAAAAGGTGGAAGAAGACGAAGAAGAAATGTGTTGATTAGACAAAACTTTAAGTTTTTCCCTTACTTATTGGTTCAAATTCTGAAGTTTTTGAGGGTTCAATACAGCAGTTAGCATTGTTTTTGTTGATTAAACCCTAACAAATAAGAAAATAATAAAAAGAAATTAGTTTATAAACACAAAAAATGAATATTTTTGTTTAATAATGTCTATTTTATAATTATAATCTTAAAAAAGAAACAATATAAAAGTATTTTATAAGACAGTACACAAAACTGCTAGGCGACTGGGCAAGGCGAGCCTCCAAGGGCGCCTTGTTGCCTAGGCGCCCGCCTAGGCGTCGCCTTGACAACTATGTAAAGAAGAGAAGATGGCTAAAGACCAAAAGGGAGATAGGAGAAACATATCTACTACAATCTCTTAATTTTTTCTCTTTGATTTATATAGTTCTTTGTTATGGTTTTGAGCCTTAAATGTGCAATTATATTTCTTCTAATAATCTCTTGATGATTTATTAACTAATTCCATGCTTCTAGAAAATTTTCTAATTTTATAGATTTTCCAATTATTTGCAAAATTTGAGAAATATCTCTGGGATTTCTCCAACTCTATATGGAACAATGTTCATCGATATCGAAATAATGAATCATGGTTGTAATATGCATAAAGCTAACTAAGAAGTTGTGGGATAGGAGTGCCAACTCAGTTCGGACAACAAAGAACCAGAAATGAAAGGGTGTGTTGTTATGATTCACGTGTGAGGAAGAGCAAGAGAGGCTAAGAGGAGAGATAATCTTGGAGCAAATAAGTGCTAGTTTTGAGCAGCTAAAGAGGAAGGCGGAACAACTGCCACTAGGTATATGGGAGGACAAAGGAAATGGAGAGGAAGGAAAGGGTAAGGAGTTACCAGACTCGGAACAAGAATATAGGAAGGAGACCTAAGATATAACACGAGAAGAGATAGAAACCGTAACAGGATTTGTGGAGAAATTAGGCTGCAAACTGAAAAACCCGAATGCTCTAAAGGCCCTCATTAGAAATTCAGATGGTCCTAAAAAAACTAGAAAGAAAAAATTAAATGAAGTTGAGAGACTGAAACTAGATGTGAAGGGGGATAAGGAATTTAGTGAGAGGGGGGAGAGAAGAAAAGGTAATAAGGTCTTCCAGCTTGGGCTTAATTCGAGGTGATTTCAAATGAAAATTCTGAGTTGGAATGTTAGAGGCTTGGGGAGTGCGAGGAAAAGAGTAGTAATAAAGGGGGTCATTAGGAAAGAAAACCCTGACATAGTATTAATACAGGAATCTAAGTTGGCAAAATTTGACAATAAATGGGCTAGAAATCTTTGGAGATCTAGAGGGCTGAGTTGGGCCTAGTCACCCTCATGGGGAGCTTCAGGAGGAATTATAATTTTGTGGAGAAATGAGGTAGTACAAGGCAAGGAGGAACTGATAGGCAGATTCACAATTTCAATTGAATTCCTACAAGTGGAGGATGACTTTGAATGGGTCTTGACAAATGTTTATGGACCAAGTAGCTATAGGGAAAGAAATGAGATGTGGGAAGAATTAGGTGACATAAGAGGGTTATGGGAAGGGCCTTGGTGTATTGGAGGAGATTTTAATGTAATAAGATTCACAGAAGAGACAAATAACTTGTGGCGAAATATAGAGGGAGAGAGAAAAGAGAATTTTCTTTATTGATGATAAAAACATGTTGAGCATACAACTTAAATAGGAAAGGCAGACCCCTAGAATATCTTGCAATCAGGGATTGACTAAATCGTTCCCTTAATCCTAGGATATGACTTTCCTAAAATTATTCAAATCTAATCCTTCCTAAATTTATTCAAATCTCTTAATCAATCAAATCCTATCTTTCTTACTTTACCGACATAACTAGAGACAGAGAATTAATACTAGCATGAGGAAATCTAACCAATTTATCAATACCTTTGAGCTTAAGGAAATTCCTTTAGTACACCATAACTTCACCTGGTCCAATTTGCAGCTAAACCCAATTTGTTCTAATCTAGGTAGGTTCCTGTTTACCTTGGATTGGGAAGAACGTTGGGGAGGATTAGTGTCCCGAGCATTACCTAGAGCTACCTCTGACCACTAGCCGATTACCATCTATAAGGAAGGAAGCTTCAGCCTAGGACCTACACCCTTTAGATTTGAGAACATGTGGTTGTCCCA